CCATATAACTCATCCCCCTCCATAGACTAGCAACATCATCATACACCATATAACCCATCCCTTCCATAGACTAGCAACATCATCATACACCATATAACCCATCCCTTCCATAGACTAGCAACATCATCATACACCATATAACCCATCCCTTCCATAGACTAGCAACATCATCATACACCATATAACCCATCCCCCTCCATAGACTAGCAACATCATCATACACCATATAACCCATCCCTTCCATAGACTAGCAACATCATCATACACCATATAACCCATCCCCCTCCATAAACTAGCAACATCATCATACACCATATAACCCATCCTCCATAGAACAACCCCACACAACATATAACCCCTTCCCATCCCTCATAGACTAGCCCCAACACCACACACCATAAAACCCCCTCACCCCAGTGATATCCAACACCCTGACCATACCCCTAGACAACCCGAAACTTACAAGGACAAAGGCCCACAACTCCAGCTAATAGTTTTTGACACATCCCCGCGACTTATCGCGGCCACATTAGTGTGTATAAACGTACGGCGTTAAGGGGATCTCGTCCACTTAGCTAGGATCGATTTAACTTTCGTTACATCAAATCTTGGTTATAAATAGAACAACGGGCATTCCCAATAATTCATTTAGTTGAGTTCTATGGGGAGAGTTAGTGAGTCCGCTGGTTTAGTGTAGGTCGGTCTATTCAACAGACTTTCAGATCTGGTGTGTGCATAGCAGGACCTATAAGGATAGGCGAAGGATCATCTTGAGACGATAGCAAAGCAATAGGAGAATATTATACCATTTGACGAATATGTGGGCAGGATGGAGGTGGGGGGGGGGGGGGGGGATTGTTCTTGCGGTGTCCAAGAGGCCCGTGAAATTTAAAAAGGGCCCTCAACCCCAGACGGAAATTTCCATTTTGCAATTTTTTTCCTCTATCAGAAAATCTCAATTTTACACCCTGTTATGAAGGAATGGTAAAATGGTAAAATTCCAACAATTTAAAAACAAGATAAAAACACTGATAGGACTATTGCAACGCCGTTCATTGGGTGGCCCACCGATATATTTTCCTGGGGACCCATCGACATATTTTCTGGGGGCCCACTGGGATTTTTCCCGAGAAATATGTGAGAACAGTAATGTGACATACAGAAAAAAACAGGATCATATAAGGACAATACCAGGACATATGCAGGCAATAGCAGGACCATATAAGGACACAATCAGGAAGGTCCATATCTGTGTTAAATGTGCGAAAAGCACGTGAGTTAAGGGTGAGCACATGTTTATTTAACTTCAGGGCTATCCTGGCAATTATCAGATTATTTCGTTTTCCTGACAAGATTAACATTGTCTGCATGTTAGATGCATAGGCTGAGTCAAGGCGTGTCTAGCGTATTCATGTCATTTTATCCCCACACATGATAAATATATACATATAAATAGACGTATATGTATTACATATATATATATATATATATATATATATATATATATATATATATATATATATATATATATATATATATGTATATATATATATATATATATATATATATATATATATATATATATATATATATATATATATATATATGTGTGTGTGTATGTGTGTGTGTAAAGAGAGAGAATGAGAGAGATGTGTGTTAAAGTTTCAATTATTCCTCGTTGTAACTTAATTCTCTCTATGGAGACAGCGTCTAATTATCTCGCCACATTAATGGACTGTACTAAACTACTGTCTCGGTGGATCATACAACTCCTAATGGTCAATAAATCACGTGAGTGAGGTGTGAATTATTGAAATGGTTGAACTTTATGGTAACGTGTGAATTATTGAAATCATTCAACTTTATGGTAACGTGTGAATTATTGAAATCATTCAACTTATGGTAACGTGTGAATTATTGAAATCATTCAACTTTATGGTGAGGTGTGAATTATTGAAATCATTAAACTTATGGTAACGTGTGAATTATTGAAATCATTCAACTTTATGGTGAGGTGTGAATTATTGAAATCATTCAACTTTATGGTAACGTGTGAATTATTGAAATCATTCAACTTTATGGTGAGGTGTGAATTATTGAAATCATTTAACTTTATGGTGCGATGTGAATTATTGAAATCATCCAACTTTATGGTGAGGTGTGAATGATTGAAATGATTCAACTTTACGGTGAGAGGCGCCTGGGCAGAATGCTGACCACACTATCCCCTCGTTGGCTGACGTCAACAGAGTTACTCTACTTCATCTGCCCTATGAACTGGAAAAGATGATGATCTTTGCTACCAATAATAAGTGAGGCTGAAATCACATGGCCAGACGAATTTTGAAGCTGACATCAAACTGTTAGATACACACTTAAAACACAAATAGGCATGCACCCACCCACCCACCCACCCACCCACCCACCAACACACAAACACCCACACCCACACCCACACACACACCAAACGCACACACACACACACACACACATATATATATATATATATATATATATATATATATATATATATATATATATATATATATATATATATATAAATATATATATATATATGTATATGTGTGTGTGAGCGTGAGTGTGTGTGTGTCTTGAATATCGCCATTGTTTATTTTGAGAGTAAGAATTCAGACATCTATACTTTTGACATACATAAATGTCTGCAGTGATCCATACACTACCCACCCAACAAGGGAATTAACCAAAGGACAATGCAGGAATATAATCCTTGAGGCTTGGGATAGAGTATCAGCCCTTGTCTGACCAGTTTTTGAGTTTTTTAAAACACAAATAACATTTGTATGCAACTCGATTTATTCTGACTTCAATTCCGTTACGGGTGTACCATAGAAAATAACCTAGCACATTTATCAGCTAGTTGCGAGACTTTGCAATATAGCTGAAACAAAACTTGATTACAACTTCTTATCTACATGATTAATAGAAGTTGATGTTTAAACATATTTTGATCAGCACAAATCAATATAAAATTGTTATATCTAAAAATGTTATATCATATTTTACCCTGCGTGTTATACGACAATTACTGTGTAGTAGGACAATCTGGTGTGTTGTAGGACAATCTTCTGTGCTGTAGGACAATCTCCTGTGTTGTAGGACAATCTCGAGTGTTGTAGGACAATCCCCTGTGCTGTAGGACAATCCCCTGTGCTGTAGGACAATCTCCTGTGCTGTAGGACAATGTCGTGTGTTGTAGGACAATCTCGTGTGCTGTAGGACAATCTCGTGTGCTGTAGGACAATCTCGTGTGCTGTAGGACAATCCCCTGTGCTGTAGGACAATGCCCTGTGCTGTAGGACAATCTCCTGTGCTGTAGGACATTCTCGTGTGTTGTAGGACAATCTCGTGTGCTGTAGGACAATCTCGTGTGCTGTAGGACAATCTCGTGTGCTGTAGGACAATCCCCTGTGCTGTAGGACAATCTCCTGTGCTGTAGGACAATGTCGTGTGTTGTAGGACAATCCCCTATTAACAATTTTTACCCTAAACTAACCCAGGGTTATTTCTTAGGGGTCTAACTGGATTAGCGCCCCATTATGGGATCAACAGTTTCCTTATCTCTCTCTCTCTCTCCCCGCAGACACACCAACATGTTTTTTGTAGCGTTTTGTCCAGGGTTTCTTTCAGACATTTACCTGTTTGGGGGTGGGAGGGGGGCACTTTACACTTCAAGGTTAAGGGAGGGGGGCCGGGGTCACTTAAGCAAACATTTTATACATAAATTATAAAGCTGTCCTAAAGTGATTCCAGAAAGAAACTCTGGTTGTGTTACCTTCCAACACCAACAGTCCCTCTCTAGCATCTTCAAGACTACGTCGAAATAAATTTGGTGAAATATCACACCGATATAGAGCTGTAGATAGAAACCTAGGGAGGTCAGAGTGGGGGTGGGTAGCTGCTATGGTGGGGAGATTGTGGTGGGTAGCTGCTATGGTGGGGAGGTTGTGGTGGGAGGTTGTTGTGGGGAGGTTGTGGTGGGGAGGCTGTGGTGGGGAGGTTGTGGTGGGGAGGTTGTGGGGAGGTTGTGGTGGGGAAGTTGTGGTGGGGAGGTTGTGGTGGGGAGGTTGTGGTGGGGAGGTTGTGGGGAGGTTGTGGTGGGGAAGTTGTGGTGGGGAGGTTGTGGTGGGGAGGTTATGGTGGGGTTGTGGTGGGGAGGTTGTAGTGGGGAGGTTGTGGTGGGTAGCTGCTATGGTGGGGCGGTTGTGGTGGTTAGCTGCTATGGTGGGGAGGTTTGATGGGAGGTTGTTGTGGGGAGGTTGTGGTGGGGAGGCTGTGGTGGGGAGGTTGTGGTGGGGAGGTTGTTGGGAGGTTGTGGTGGGGAGGTTGTGGTGGGGAGGTTGTGGTGGGGAGGTTGTGGTGGGGAGGTTGTGGGGGGAGGTTGTTGGGAGGTTGTGGTGGGGAGGTTGTGGTGGGGAGGTTGTGGTGGGGAGGTTGTGGGGGGAGGTTGTGGTGAGGTTGTGGTGGGGAGGTTGTAGTGGGGAGGTTGTGGTGTTAAGAAGGGGTGGACATGGCAGCTAATATAATCATTGGCTAAGCCCGCTATTCTGTCTGTATCTAACTCGACATAAATAAGATGCTAAGATAAATCAATGGGTCTGCAATTGAATCAATGGTACTTAATTAGATGAAATATTTGTTTATTTTTTTCATTCCAAAGTGTTTCCATTAAACTTTATTCTTATGAATTTACATTGACAACTAGGAATCTCACATAACAAATGATTAAAAAAAATTTTTTTGCAAGTGATCCGACAAGTTTTGCAGCTAGTATATTACATAATTCGGATTGGTCTATGTAAAATTATTTAAATATAGCTATAGAAAATTTAACATATCATTAATGTATGATATGAACTTGTGTTGTTATGTTGATGAAATGAGCATTGTTTCGTGTAACATGACACAAAGATATTGAGTAAAGTTCATGTTTTTGATGTTTTTGTCTTCCTCAGGCCGGGCATGAGGTCGTGGAGTCACGTGGCCTTGCTGGCCTTCCTGTCCATCAAATGGCTGACCACTTGTGTGCTAGCTGATAACGTCTTCTGTGATGACCCAGAGCTATGCAGTAGTGAGTTCTGTGTGTCCAGTTGTCCGTTATAGCTTGACAATGTGTGCTAGTATAGAATAGGGAGTCTTTCCATCTATACGACATTATATATATATTTTATATGTGATATATATATATATATATATATATATATATATATATATATATATATATATATATATATATATATATATATATATACTATATACTATATACTATATACTATATGAGAATATATATATATATATATATATATATATATATATATATATATATATATATTATATATGTATATATATATATATATATATATATATATATATATATATATATATATATAAATATATTATGATATATTATATATACTATATAATATATCAGAAAAAATATAAATACATATATATGTGTATGTATGTCATGCTTATATAATACACACACATATATATATATATATATATATATATATATATATATATATATATATATATATATATATATCGCATGCTTGTCACATGCAACCACTAAATGTTCTCACTCTGGCACGATAAAGCTCGCGCACAAAGCACGTGCAGTGAAGCAGACAACTTGTAGGCCCCTATATCCCATAATGAAAGAACTCACGCTGCTTGCTAACGCTTTTCGCCACGCTTGATTGCGCTGTATATTTTTATCTAATCATCTATGTTATACACAAACAAAACCTAACTTCCAAAATGGAAATCCCGTTATGATCTCAAACCCTCAGACAGAATAAGTTTTGTCTATTGGGACGGTAACTCTCGTCTAGACTATCACATTAATTTCATAACTTCACAAAGGCTGACTTATACTTTGTTTCGTTAAAATCCAGCTTTTTACACCCCCCTATTTTACGTCTAAGCCGCATAGAGTTGGCACTCGACGTAAGAGATGGTAAATTGAACAATTCCCTAAAACGTTATTACCATTTGTTTTTAAACTGTTAAGTGTGAAAAACTTCGTTCATTAGCATGCATGAGTGTAGCGTGCACACAATTTACTTGAAGTGTTTAACTCGCACACCCACTTCAGCCTGAAAGATAAAACCTTCGTAACACCCTTAATTTCCCACCCCTAATACGCCTCCCATCCCCCACCCCCACCCCATATACGCCTCCCACCCCACCCCACCTCTACACCTCCAGACGAGATAACGGCCCTTGAGCTTCATTCCCGTGTCAAAAATTACAAGTTAACAAAAGTTAACAAAAATGTTAACGCACTCTTCTCACGCGCCTCAGCCCGGCAACAAAATAGCACGTGACGTCTGCACTGCATTATGGGATTGTTCATCTAATGGTTTAATGCCGCGGCCGCATCTTAAGCCGTCAGCCTACCTGGCAAGGTCCGGAGTTTAGATCACGTGATCGTGCATGTACCTGGCCATCTCGTGCTCGCAGCTAATGGAAAGGTTATTGTTATAAGGGGGGGGGGTCTTGTCGAGGCAATTAAAAACTTTCACTGCTCACAGGACGGGAACAAATATTTAAAATATTTTTTTTTTGGTGTGTAAAACGATCCTCATCAAGACAGAATCATCGCCTAGAAGAGATTTGATCTTGGATTCCATGCGTGCTAAGATAAATTCCAGCCACACCATTTTAATCCTGCTAATCTGGGAACTGTAGCACCTTCAATTTATTTTACAAGCCATTTTTTTTTCACTCAACCTGGCCGGGAAACAACGCTCCTAGTGTCAGGAATTTCTTCATGTAGAGGCACACACACACGTACTTACGCCCGAACACACACACACACACACCCTCCCCCCACCCCCCACACACGCGTACACACGCACGCATACACACACGCATACCATTCACACACATGTAAAATCCTTTCATAAACTAAACTAAGAATGTCCATTGAAAGATGACAAACAAAATATTTGAGGGTTCGTATCATAAAAAAAAAACGTCAGATGTATTTCTAGACGACATTGATCCACTGTCGATTATCAATAATAAGCAATATATCGTGAAACACGCCATCAACGCCAAACTGGCAAAGCGTGTGTATCCCATGGAACTCTAGACAGTAGCTCCCTCGTGTCCAGTAGCTGGTCGGTCAGTTAGGTGATGTTGTAACACCTCCGAGATCAAAAGTAGTCCCTACAAGTTTACGCTCTGTTGTATTGATCCGCAGATTGATTGTGGGATCGGGACCGTTAACAGTTATAGCAGGTGGATGAGTGGCTTAAAGCCGGGTTGAAAGTGGGAGGAGTTTTGTAGGGTCAGGGGGCTAAGCCAGGGGGATATAACCCCGACCCAGGGGCCTCTGTTGGTGCCGGAAGTTGGTTCAGTTGTGACGCGTCACAACGAGATTTGAACGAGATTTGAACGAGATTAGTGCGCGGCTTCTGGTATTGTCTTTAAACTTGGAGTGGAGTTGTTCTAGCTGGGGGGAGCTGGTGGGACTACATAACACAGCTTGCTTTGTCAGGCCGTTCGTTTCATGTTCTACACGGTCAAGGATTAGGGTTAGTCTTTAAACTGGTGTGTTGGACAATGGAAACACACACAGATACACAGACTCACACAAACGTACACGAATATATATATATATATAAATAAATAAATAAATAAATAAATATATATATGTATATATATATATATATATATATATATATATATATATATATATATATATATAAAAATATATATATGTTTAAATGATTATATACATATATATATATATATATATATATATATATATATATATATATATATATATATATATATATATATATTTATATATATATATATAGAGAGAGAGAGAGTTATATTTTGTATGTTTTGTGCGTGAGAATATTTTTAACCCTATCCAAAAATTTAAAAAATCAGTATGCTAATCCTCCATTATAAACCCCATACTCACTGACAATAACGAAGGGTCGCATGTTACATGTGGTGGTTGCCCTAAAATTAAGAAGCATAAAGCGAGATGTCTGCCATTTTTGTAAGAGGTCCTGTTGTCGTGTCGATAATGACGACAGAGCCGATAAAACAGAAGTTCCAAGATGGCTCAATGAAATGTGGCTCGAGATATTTCTGGAACCACGGTTTCTGGTTGTGTGTGTCTGTAGTTGAGGGGGGGGGGATAATTGGTTGGGGTGGTTTGTGTTGTGGTATTCAAGGCAAATACATAATTGTGTTGAGGTCTGTAGTTTTTATTTGTTAAAAATAATTCCGCATACGATTCTAAAAGTTTTTGCATGTTTCCATGGTTAGCCATCAATTCTGTTACCCAAACAGCAGATACAGATACATATCTGTTGAGCTTTCATATATAACCAAACATCTTCTGACCATTGACAAACAAAGGTATCAAAAATGACATTAACACCAGATAATTGTGAATCTATATAAGGTATAGAAATTAGAAAGGTTTCGTGACAGATCTATATTTGTCATATTACTTTTTGGTCGAAATTTTTTGATTGATTAACTGTTTATCTTTGATTTGTTGGTCTAGTTTTTACAAGTGTTAGGCTAATTTTGACTAGAGTTTGTCTCGCTTTGACTAGTGTTAGTCTAGTTCTGTCTAGTTTTCACTAATGTTAACCTAGTTTTTACAAGTGTTTGTCTAGTTTTAACTAGTGGTTGTCCAGTTTTTAGATCCGTTTAGTCTTTGAGTCTACATTTGTATCTCCAAAGTGTCTAGTTTTAACCTACTTTGAAACTGAAGTTCACCAGCGTGTGTCTACGAATGTGTCTACGAATGTGTCTACAAATGTGTCTACAAATGTGTCTACAAATGTGTCTACAAATGTGTCTACAAATGTCTCTACGAAAGTGTCTACGAATGTGTCTACAAATGTGTCTACGAATGTGTCTACAAATGTGTCTACAAATGTGTCTACAAATGTGTCTACGAAAGTGTCTACGGATGTGTCTACAAATGTGTCTACGAATGTGTCTACAAATGTGTCTACAAATGTGTCTACAAATGTGTCTACGAATGTGTCTACAAATGTGTCTACAAATGTGTCTACAAATGTGTCTACAAATGTGTCTACAAATGTTCCTACAAATGTGTCTACGAATGTGTCTACGAATGTGTCTACAAATGTGTCTACGAATGTGTCTACAAATGTGTCTACGAATGTGTCTACGAAGTGTCTAATGTCATTTTCCCTTGCTGCCAGACGCGGACGTACTATGACGTCACGGCAGATAATGGACTCCATTTTCTCTGTCTCTGAAATAGTGCTTAGTACTTCAGTAAGACAATGTCCTACAGCAATGCCGATGTTTATAAAATGTCATACAGCTGCTGTTATAATAATGTCTTTTAAATTAGTTTTGGGTGGAATCATGGAGCCAGGTACACATTACAACTGGGTGGGCTCAGTGGCATAATGCATCCAGGTACCTATTATAGCTGAGTTGACTCATGGAGCTAGGTACATGTTATAGCTGGGTGGACTCATGGAGCTAGGTACATGTTATAGCTGGGTGGACTCATGGAGCTAGGTACATGTTATAGCTGGGTGGACTCATGGAGCTAGGTACATGTTATAGCTGGGTGTACTCATGGAGCCAGGTACCTGTTATAGCTGGGTGGACTCAGTGACCTCAGCAGACTGGAGCCCCTACAGACACCACAGAGTCCCCCTGTCTTGTCGTGTGTGAGCGGTCTTACACGTGCGGGCTCAGCTCACCATCCAGCTGACAGGGGCGTCTCCACACGGGGCGTCTACACAAGGGGCGCCCTTATCTCTCTCAGCATGTGGTCTGTGGGCCGGGCCCCCGACGTGAGGGGGACTCCGCTCCTGGGCTGATCAGGGTGATTGGCTCGTATCGATGTATCGATTGACGAGTAGACAGGCGAGTTATCCCCCATGTCACAGCTTACGTGTAGAGTTATTCCCCCTATCACCGCTTTAAGTGTTGGTTGGTGTTCAATTTCAGACAATTTTATTGATATGGTCCTTCGATTTTTAACACGTAAATCACCTGATAATGTAACAATATTCAGTAGAATACTGGGGACAGAGAGAC